ACAGCTCGAAGCATCAGTAGGGCACCGTGAGTTATTATAAAGGCCAGTTATGCATCCAGCGGTACTTAATGCAGTCGAACGCATGGCGCGTCCCTCAAGGATTGATCAACGCCGAGAACTACATCCTTATTCTTACTCTGGAAACAGTTTGCCAATCTGAACGAATGTGAAGTTTAGTTGGCCCGATGGTATATCGAATCAGGAGCCACACACGTTTTAAACAACATCTCTAACCGCTGCTTTTTAAGCGCAAAATAAAGCAGCTTCTGATAATACAAGGGCATCCTGCAATTGGAGCGTCGACGCATTATCGAAATCCTCTTTGACGGATATGAGTGGTTCGATTTCTGGAGATTCTATTTAGATAGCCATTCTGGTTCATCAGAATTGATGAGGCTGATTTATGCCTCATTCGCGTCAATCTAAATAGGGAACCAATGGCCTTGATGAGTTTCGAAATATTCGCATGACCGCTCTCATTCATCACACCTTCGTGGTGGCTTTTCTGCCGTGTAGAATCACACCACTTCGCCCTTCCGCCGACATAATTTTGACTTTCGCCGTATTGTGCATTGAATCTTCAATTTGCTGTCATTGAGGTGTGTAAGCCTAGTTTCTCAGAATCGAGTTTTGGACACAATGGAACTTAGCCTTCGCTAAAAACATTCTTCTTCAACGAGACGTCATCCTTCCATCACCGTCTCTCCTCTACTAGTTTCCATTTCTTATCCGCATAAGGTTGGCAAAGAAATCTTTATAGAACAAGTAGAAACGTCTCATTAAATACATTCATAATCATCGGTAATAACATTTGCGGTCATTTAACAATTCCTTTCTTCTTTTTTCCCAAACATTTTGAAAAGAAACTACCCAAGATGTGGTGAAATTGGTAATAAATTCTTCTGCTATGCAAATAAACAATTTCAAATGGACTCTCCAGCAAACGCAGTAATGTTGGGGGTAGGGAAGAAGTTAGCGATGCATTCCATCATAAGGCAAGGTGCTAGTTCAACCATCTTCCTAACGTTCTCCTCCAATCCACGTGGGAATGCCTTGACTCAACCTTTTCTAAGATTGCAAAGGCAATCGACTTGAATAGCATTCTGGGGCACGAAATCTTCAAGCAGTAGCCGAAAAAGCCCGCATAGTGCATGAACATCTTAGCTGAAGACGAATCCAAGGGAAACAAAAGATGTAAGAAGTCCCGGACTCTGTACAGTAGATGTAAGTACGGGTCACGTAAAATAAGAAAACAGGAAATAATTTTTATGGTTGGAGCACTTTTTTTTTAAGCTAAAGGGGTTTTCCACCATTATGAAACTCATCACATTACGGTGCACAAAACCAATTCAGTGTTTTTTGTGAGAATTTTGCTACATTTTCGTGCAACGGAATGCTGTGGCACTACCTTCTGTGGTTTTGAAACCATCGGAGTATTTCCTGTAAGTCGAACTGTTATGCATGGTGTAAGGGTGTAGGGTTAGTTCTCCAGCAGACTCATCAAAGCTTAGTTGAACTGCAACGTTTTCATCCATAAATCCAGCAGAGAGTAAGCTTATGTTATAGAGTGCTGTCTTCCATCAAAAAGCCCTGTTCCAATGTAGCAATCCTTCCTACGTCAAGATACACAAGGGACAGAGTATTTAGCGTGAGACGTGAAAATATGCCTGCGACATGATTTTTAAAGTTAGTAGTCAACTGGAACTGCTGGCTCCACACATTTCCCAATGATCAAGAGCGGTCTAACTGTTGGAGCAAATTGTGATTCCTTACCGTTACTGACAAACCAGCAAATTCTAGTCAGCTGGTCATTACTGTAAGGTTAGTACATTGGAAAGAATTCTTTTTTTTTTTATTTTACACTATCCATCTTTCACATCTACTGTGCGGGTGCCTACATTTCTTGCATTCGACACGTCTCCTCGCATCCATCGTCCACTAGAGTCTCTCATCTTGGGATATAGGTTCAGCTGCTGAATGCTAATTTTCATTGCGTCAGGAATATCGTTGAGTAATGGTTGAGTCGATTCCTCTTTTAATCCTGAGATAGCTCTGCTAAGAAGCTCCTACTTGGATTGCAGAGAATAGGCTTTTCCCAGACAAGTTTACTGCCAATTTTTCCACCGAGGAAAGGTAGGAGGCTTAGGAAGCGGTGGGCGGGGTCGAGCCAGAAATGTGTTCGTGTTGAACGGCATCACTATCACTGCTCTATCCACCCTCCTATCGCATTGGTGACAAGTATGTTTGTAAAGTGGAACTTGATTTTACATAATGGTGACCGAACATCGCATGATCACATTTGAAGTCAAGGTCTCACAGAAAAACGCGTAAGTAAACATCTAAAGTTATAATGAATAGAAATTCAACACGGCATTTCGCATCGGAAAGTCCTGAGAGTGACGTTTGAAACAAATGAATGTTTAAGCAAAAAGTACTTAAATTCAAAAAATAACGTGAAGCCGAAATTCATGGATCTGGCTGAGGGTCTGTGTCCGTCCAAATCAGATGGACTTACGCTGTTATTATATGGACCAATTAAACAAAAAAGATAACCTTAAGCGCAAAATCGAACAGTAGTGGTGAATTCCGTTATTTTTTTCACTTTACCACGTGCTCTCGATTTTGTACGGGAGTCATGTAATAGTTTTGCACTCACCTCTAACACCCGTAATGTCGCAGTTTTTCTTATAACGTCCTTAACTGCAACGTATGCTATCCTACTTTCTTTAGTTGATTTCAAAGTCGCATTTATTTCCTGGAAGGGGTCTCGACTTGACTCTCATGCTCGTATAAGGAAACACACCCACAATGTGAATACGAAAATATACGTGCAGAAAGTGGAAGCGAACAAAGCGGCGCACTACACAGACTCTGTTGTCTTGAGCATAACTACGACTGAGAGAAAGTGCGTGGTCGTTTTTAGTTACCCCTTATTTGCCGTATGAGGTTATCTTTCTGGCAACACACATATGAATTGAATTCGTAAGGTCTCACAATAATCTATGGAATGGTACCCACCACCTTGTTCATTTTGTAGTTCCCCGGCGAATGAAAATGGATGTAGACTGACACGGACCTGTATATGTATACCGAAGAATAAGCCCTTTTCTTACCATAACGCTTTGGAGATGGATCTGGTACCAAAAAGCTTCACAAAAGGGATAAATGGTTTGCCTGGTCTAAGCTTGTGAATGGAACTAAATGACTGCTAGTGAATGATGAACTCTTCATCACATTTCACCAAAGCTCCTACAGCTCTCTTCTGTTATATTTCTCCATAACACTTAAAGATTGTTTTTTCTTTTTCTTCCGAAACTAGCGTTATGTATTGGTTTCCATATACAATATGAATTAAGAACTGAGATCTTAACACTGTTATTTACTGCCTTTTTCTTCTTAATGGCAGGGTATATTGCGAAATATAAATCGTATATAATGCTGAGATATTTGCAAAACCCCGGACCGCAGGTGTATGCCGGGGGGAACGAACGCGCGCTATTGTCCTTACCGGGGAGTAGCGCACTTCACCACCACACCATCCGTGTCCTTCGTTTTGCCTGTCTCTCAGCTAGTTCTATTGATCTTTTTGCCATCACCATTCACCCGTTAACGGTATTGATCTGGAGATCCCAAATCGCCATTGAACCCAGTTAAGCTGAGGCTTAGTTATAATCACAATCTTAACCCTTTTATTTACTTCCTTTTTCTTTTTAATGGCAGGGTCAATCCCGTTGACGGGTGATTGCTGATGGCAAAAAGAGCAATAGAACTAGCTGAGAGACAGGCAAAACGAAGGACCCGGATGGTGTGGCGGTGAAGTGCGCTACTCCCCGGTAAGGACAATAGCGCGCACCCGTTCTCCACCGCATACATCTGCGGCCCGGACTTTTGCAAATATCTCAGCATTATATATAGGAACTAAGAGCTAAATTTATTCTAAAAAAACAGATTTTTAGCGTAGTGTTCACGATAAACTTCGTTGTGCTAAAAGGGTGATTTACTTTTTCGAGTTTACATGAGCAGGCTTTTCCTCAGCGTTCACTCTAGTGAATTGTCCTAGTACACATGATAAGACGTGCAATAGTTTTTCTTAATGACCGAATGGATTAAAAAACTAAAAGATCATAAAGTGCCCTGATGCTAATTTGTTACTGCAAGTCTGCATAGGAATGATGGCAAACACTCTGTACTTTCAACTGTTCGCCCGAACCATTCTGCTTGTTATCCTGTTCACTCGTCAGTTTCTACAGGTTTTACTACATGTTTTACTACTTCACTTATCTGCCAGCATTCGGTGATTTAATGTGTAACATTGTTCATAAATTCTAGTGTAGGTCATCGATGGAGCATTTTGGAAGTGCGGGTGTCCACGGCCGCACTTATTGCTAGCCAGTTTTATTTGTTTTGACCATTTTTAGTCTTCTAAATAGAAAGAGCATTCTTCGAGAAACTACTTATTAATAACCTGACGTCTACGATTTACGGCTCCAATAAAATATGAAGTAGATTTCACAGTAATATCGTATTCTTATACTCGTTGCAGGTCTACCCATCAACACGATTTCGCTTCTTCAGTTTGTTCATTTTACTGCGAAATGTGTTGTCGATTCAGAATTCTTCGTTCATTAGGATGTTTCAGAATTTTATTTTCCTCGTTTAACACTTTTTTTTGGGAGGTAGAGCGCCGGGGAAGAAGGGGTTGTGGGTAAACACTCCAATGGTCGAGACCTTGCATTTGTGCACCAGAAATAACTTTCCTCTGGTTTTGATTTTCCATTGTTTCTCATCTATTAAAGATGCACTCAAATTCTTGTAGAATAAGCAAGCGAGAAACTCACTAGGTTCCTTTCTCTTTAGAGTTCTTTCAAAATTTTTTCCAAGGGTTGACACAGAAGAATGGCTTTATTTTAAATTTGTCCTTTGCAACATATTGAATTCTCTAAGGCGCAGTTTTCTGCACAAGTCGTTCTCAGATTTTTTTTCCAACTCGGTCATAACAGATGGCGAAAACGATCTCACGAGGTGATTCCTTGTCGTTGACGCAAATACGGGCATTTTCGGCCTATTCTAATCTGTGCCAAGTCGAGGAAAACGACGACACCGTCGAAACCCAGCTGGACAACTGGCTGCCGGAATTGGATGATGAAAGCTACAAACTTGAGGTGAACTATACCTGCATTGTGTACGAAAAATACGCAAGACTCGGTCAATTTACCCCAACCCTGATATTCATCTAAAATCACAGCATCCAGGGCTGCTCTATGTTAGAGTATTTGGAAAAGTTTATTTGAACCAGTATATTTTTGTAATTCGTTCGTTTTTGGTGCCTTCAATTTTGTTCATTGGGTGGCAAAAAAAGTTATTTTTTCTTGATTCAGGTGGAAATCCGGAAAGATGCTAGCTATCCAGATGGTTTGGCTTTTCGAATCATCGGTAGCCGAACGAGTGGAATTTTCATTTCATATGTAGACGATACTTCACAGCAGGCACGTCACATATCGCGAAGAAGTAAATAATAATTTAAAAGGAGTAACACATTGGCTTCCGTGCGCATTACTTCCAATGTATGGTCTCTCAGATTGTTAGTCTTGCAACACAAAGTTTTGCACGCTAACTTATGCATTAGATGAGTATCTTCTCAACTATTCTGTTTACTGTGTGTTCCGTTCCGAGAAAAACTTTTCTGCGCATTACAATTCTAAAGAACACTTCTTAAACAAATTTGTTCTTCCTTGGAATTCCCGCTATAACGCGTTTCTTCTTGTACCGATAGAAACACACATAGAAAACCGTTAGTGGTGAGGAATATAGTATGGCACCTTTTAAGTCATTCTGAAGGACATAGTTGATCTTAGTGCATGCGGCTTGGAAGAATAAAATTTAAAAAAATTTATTAAGAAGAACACTCGGTAGCGAAACTCAGATTGTTCCTTGCAGGCTTCTCTACTCATAGAGGGAGACCTCATTAAAGGATGTAACGGGAAGGACATGACGGGTTTCACATGCAATCAGGTAGGATTCAAGAGGTTCCAAAGACATCGATCTCAACCTCTCCAGTGCTCTCATGAAGTGTAGCTTTTGGAGTAACTAGCGCTTGAGTCATCCGAAAAGAGGCTTAATATTGTTCATTAGTTTATATTTCTCATATTTTGTATACAGCTCTTCCCCGCTGTGGTTTAGCTTATAAACGAAGTAGAACAAGGTACAGTAATGATTCAAGCAACTTCATAAATGTATTATATAAGAGTTACGTAATCGGCTATTCGAACTTGACCCTGCTTATAGTACTATTGCAAATCGACCTTTATTTAACCTCAGTGTGAATGATCAATGTGCCTTCGACGTTAACAACACTGGTTCGATACATCGGTAAGCCACCGTGAGTCATTGTAAAGGGCAGATATGCATTCAATCATATGGAAATGATGCTTAATGAAGTCGAATGCATAACGCATCCCTCACGGACTGATCAAACCAGAGAGCTTTATCCTTTATCCCTTAACGTTTTGGCATATAACAATGATACTATACTATTAACAACAATGGTAGGATACTATGCAGAGGTATACGTATTGTTACAAGATCTTTCATAGTAACAATAAGTAATTAGCTATATCTAAACTACTACATTGATTAGGCGGCGTCAATTTTACGATTTGCACTGTTGCACGGAAGTGTGATGCAATTGCAAATCATTCGAAAGAGCTGTGGATCACTTCTGATGGAGAAGCGTCGCAGTCTAGCAAGAATCTCGCAAGAGCAGGAGCGACGTCTCGGTGCCGCGTCGTTGGCAGAACTCACTCGGGCCAGTTCGTCCCGAATGTACCAGTCCACTTCCTGCCCTGACTATTATCCCAATAACAATGTGTGAGTTAAACATATTTCGTATCATCACTTTTTCCTAGTAAAGAAATAGATAGGAAAAATGAACTACTTATATTTCCAAACTTAAGTAAACAGCTACATTCAAAACACAACATATGAACAGTCTAAAAATAACCCGCGTTGCAGTTCGCTAATTAATATCACATACAAATCTTGAAATTAGTTGGAAGCAACCGGCTTGCAGACCAGTCTAGCTGTTCACGGGGTTGCCTTTAAAGTACTAACAGCTAGGTACCTACCAACTGTAACATTACCATTCCAGACGAGAAAATCACGTGAAAACTATGAGTGCCCATGTCGCCACGTTGCCGGTGTATGTAGTGATCGCCTTCCCACAAACTCTGTGCTTTGTAGCGTCGTTTAGTACCGCTTTACTCGATCATTGTTTGAACAAGAAATACGCATGACTTCTTATGTAAGAGGTTCGATAATGAAAACCAACCGCACGGCGTACTTCTAGTTTGATCGGTCAGACAATGGATGCTGTCAAGCGGTACTTGCTAGATTTAGCGCTTAGGATTATATAAGAAGCAATTTCTCGCGTACTACAACCAGAAAGGAACCCTGGTTGGAATAATAACCAATTTAAAAATAGAACTGACGCTCTGGTCTTAGAATTTTTTAGAAGATATTTATATTGCCACATGTGATTAAATTGCAGGCTGGCAGGACTGATTACGCAAAACTTCAAACTGATACGGAAGATAAAGGTGGTAAGGCTGCATCGCGACAGAACTTCTGGCATTTGCGAAAACGATGTGGTATTTCTAGGGTGACGAAGAGGCCCAACTGCTACTGGAACACCAAGAAAGAAGCTCACCGGAACGAACACTATAACCGAATTCTTATTTATTTCGCTCATAATGTGTTGAGGAGAAATAGGCGATTTTAGAGTGAGGTCGGAATGCATCGACAGGAATCCCACCAGATATCATACATGCAACCACAAGTCCTGTATGGTGAGTTTTCTTTCTATCACCATAATGATTCCAATTCTTGTGATGGAAACTTCCCGGATCGACTTCCCGTTAAAATCGCAACTGGTCAATAAGTTAACGACTTATTATTGAAACGATACGAGCTGTTATCAGAGAATCTACTTACAATGGCTAACGTTTCCGCGCACTTCGTTTTTTTCTATTCAGAGCCTGGAACGGCTCTAATTGATCTACAGTCTATGCAGCCAACTATTTTTATGACTCTAGCAAACAAAACTTGGAACACAAATTCCAATCACATGAGAAAATCTGATAATCTTGCTTCTAGTATCGTTGAAATTCAACCCATTATCAGCTATGTAGGTAGACTAACGGCCAGAATAGCGTAGTTTGTATAACCAGTATTCATACTGTTGCTGGAACACACCCAAGCCCATCTTACGAACTTTGAATTGTTCATGGATCTTCCGCTAATGCGTCTCTCACTGGAACATACGTGATCGAGTCCTTCAATGTCGCTTTCCTTTATACAAACGTTGAATAACTAAGCAGTGCAGGCCATCCACGAGCTACTTATCCAAGATGAAAAACTAATAAACAAGTATAGCTTGTCAATTCAGTGGTTCTTGGCCTTTATAAAAGGATGCCTAAGCTGCTAAATCTTGAAATGATCAGGAAAATATTACGCACAAATGAGAGGGTTGTCATGGGAGAGCTGCTAGCACGAGGTCTTGCCATTGCATTTGTGTCTAAGCTGGTGGCCTCTGTTCTTGGTCTCCATCCGATACTCTACTCTAGGGCTGCTATGAGTGTTTGTCATCTGTTCAGCATGAGAGGAGGTGGACAATTTGCTTTGAATTTTAAAGCCAACTTTTAAGGTTTTTAAGCCAAGACTACATAAATTTCACCCAAGAGAGACCAAAGAAAAAACCTCCATCTTTGAAGCTTCACCTTAACCTCTCCAAAAGCGGCTATGTCAACAAATGGTACCGATCACCAAGTAATAAAAATGTACTGATTCACTTCTTATTAATTACCGCTCTTATCACCCTTCCCACACAAGAAGGGCTTTTGTAAGAAACATATTTCGAAAAGACACCAATGTATGCACGGGAAGAGAACAGGAGGAATCCCTGAACATGGTATGGCTAATAACAAATTCCATTGGCTACGGAAAAGGCATCTCCTCGGGGTAGGATCAGGGGCAAAAAAAACTGCTGAAACGGCAAGTCTTATGAAACCAAATTTTCGTTTAACCAACCTTTTATCTTTAACAAATTAAGGACAGCTATAAGGCGGTATGTAGAAAATGCCGGTCTAGAGCATACGATAGCGGTGATTGAACTACGACCGTCTGTGCGATACGCAAAACTGCATAATTTGCCACAACGGTAAAGATGACGATTGGATGAGTTTGTACGGTATACCTGATTTCTTGTAGGGCTTTTGGTGAAGAATACATGGGCAAAACGGCAAGGCCACAGTGCGTCTTGAGCACTTAGTTGGAAGGCTCAGGTTTTATTTAAACTCCCTTCTTTCTAAGTCAAGCAGCAAACTCCACTAGCCACGCACTGGACATGAAGGTATAAAGGAGAAAAGATTTTGAAGTAGAAGTCACTCTCTTCGCACAGGAATCCAAATTATCAGTGCGTAAAACTCTGTAAACGCAACCACAACGTTGCTGAGACATTTGCAAAACTCTGGGCCGCAGGTGTCTATGGTGGCGAACGAACGCGCTATTGTCCTTTCCGGGGAGAAACGCGTTCACCACCACACCATACGGGTCCTTCGTTTCGCCTGTCTCTCAGCTATTTCTATCGGTCTTTTGCCACAGCAATCACCGGTCAGGAGACAGGCGAAACGAAGGACCCGCATGGTATGGTGATGAACGCGTTACTCCCCGGAAAGGACAATAGCGCGTTCGTTCGCCACCATAGACACCTGCGGTCCACAGTTTTGCAAATATCTCAGCAACCTTAACTCTTTTATTTACTGCCTTTTTCTTCTTAATGGCAGGGTATGTTGTGAAATATAACTCGTATGAAATGCTGAGATATTTGCAAAACTCCGGACCACAGGTGTATGCAGTGGGGAACGAACACGCGCTGTTGTCCTTACCGGGTTCAATGCCGATATTGGCTCCCCAGATCAATCCTGTTGACGGGTGATTGCTGATGGCAAAAGAGATCGATAGAACTAGCTGAGATACATGCAAAGCGAAGGACCCGGATGGTGTAGTGGTGAAGTGCGCTGCTCCCCGGTAAGGACAACAACGCGTGTTCGTTCCCCACTGCATACACCTGTGGTCCGGAGTTTTGCAAATATCTCAGCATTTCATACGAGTTATATCTCAGCAACGTTGTGGTTGTATTTCGCTTAGTAGCCTGCCGCGAAATTATAGTAGGCAGAAAATAAAAAGGTATAACTCTTTAAACGTTTCGATGAATTCCGAAAATCCAGAAATGAACCGCACAGACGAGTGCCTTGTGATAATATGTGACTTTGCGCCATAACTCGTGCTCATTTTTTTGGCGTGAACCAAACAAAATCTTCACCGATGTAAGACTTCATGCGGCTGGTTCTCGACAACTGGTGGACTTACTTGATACTTAAACGGCCGTCCTCACTGCTTATGTGGGCCCAGCATATTTATCATTTTTCGGAGATTTGCTGGTTAAGCCATTGTGGTTCCCTGAAATCCCGAGGTCAGTCTGGCCAAAGTCTGCCTTAGGTCTTCACCACCACAGGCAGTCGCAGCCCTTGTGGATCAAAGGGAGATTTGTCACCATGCGACTAATTTGACATTAGGACGGTGGCGTATTCTGGTATTGGTTTACTCTTAGCTAGGCTTCCTGATGGAAACGCCGGACTTCTTCTCATCTTTGGAGACCCTGCCAGGGAGACGAATCCCCGCGCTGTACATTGCAGTCCGACACACAGCAACACCTCCCAGCCACGATGAGGCGGTAAACCGTTGGGAGGTGGTGGACTTATAATGAACAAAATGGTGGGTGTTTAAAGGAGGCCGTTTACAATGCGAATGATAATTTACGTATCGCGTTTTCTTCTGCTTCTGTTACGAAAGTGCTTGACTGAATAGACTGTGCGTCAATTTGATCATTCCACGCTCTGAAGGAGGCAAAAGGGCCGAATCTATCGGAAAATCCCTACATCGCCAATTAGTACAGAAAGCCAAATGACAAAATCACACTTGTTCATCAAATCTTCCCCCACCCTTTCCGCACATAAAGGCCCTTGCAGTAGACCTTTCGAACACCCACCAAAGTGTGTACAGGAAGAGAACAGAAGGATTAATCCCTGAACTTGTCATGTAGCCACTTCCGACGGGTACTTCCTGTTCGGCGCATGTTTGGAGGAGAACACACGCCCTTAAATGACAAGTCTTGTGAAAATAGCACACTTTCACCTACTCTTCATTTCCACCGAAGTGGGTGTAGCTGTAAAATGATGTTTAAAAACGATGGATTTAAGGAAGTAAGCAGTAGTGATTGGAACGTAAACGAACACCCACGCCGTCAGTTAGTTAGTAATTGACTGTCTATGCATCAATTGATTAATTTATCGTCGCACTACTCGTCGAGTGACTCGTGTTGGCACGAGTGAGTTCTCTATTTGTCATTGCTTAGGCAGCAGTAACCTATTGGATTTTGCTCACTGTATGGAGGGATCACTCTTTCACCAGCTTCGTGATGCACGTTAGCCATCGAGTCGGTGATCGTGCTGTACGTTTAATATTCCGATGAATCCTGTCGCTCACGGCTCTTGTACACCAGTTGCCGTTTAGGCGCATCACATGTCCACCCTACGTGATTTTCAGCATTTTGGCGTCTATAACGACGTCTCTAATCTTTGTCGTTGGAATAGGTCGGAACTTCTGGTTTTCCTTCTTAATTGCTTGATAAGGGATACTCGCAGCATCTACTTTCGACTGCACATTCTACATCGTACATCATGTTGACTTCCTGACTCAGATACACATAGCTAGGGCATTCCGAGATATTAATTCTGCTGAGCGTGAATGGTCCATAAGAAGCAAATCCGTTTCCCGTGTCGTTTCCGTGAAATTCAGTCGAAGATCAATCTTTCTACAAACGTTGTGGAAACCAGTCAACATTAGTTCTACTTGGCTAATTTTACAAGAACGATATCGCCAGCAAAGCCAATATGGTACAATTGCAGACCATCGATTTTTCATTTCCATGATGTCTCATTCCAATATTCGCATGGTGTTCTTCGGGGAGGTACAACAGGATCACCTTCTAGGAGCCCTTTCTTTAGTCGATATCGATGTCGTTTTATAGAATGGTGACAGTTTTTTTGTGAACTTTTCCTATACCTCACCAAGAATCTTTAACTACTGAGTAGGGATGCCCCGGCTGTCCATAGTTCAATGAACGTTTTTGTACCGCCGGATTCGAAAGCACATTTTAGGTCGGTGAAAGTTTAACAGAGCGGTTTCTTGTTCTCTCGCAGCATTTCAATGAGTCTAATTATCGTGTGGATGTGGTTCATTGTAGTGAATCCGTTTGGAAGCCTTGCTTGTTTAAATAGCTGTTCTTCGTCGAATGCCGGAAAGTTTATAGACGACACACAGCAAGCAGACTGAGCGATAGTTGCCGATATGTGAAGATCACTCTTCTTGAACACAGCAGAAACAGGAGAACATTTCTGGATTCACCTGCTCTCAAAGGAGCATAAAGTGGTTTTTAGTCCGCGTTTTATCTCGCGTGCGCAACCTGGCTACGCGCCACAAAACCTGGCGACTAACCAGCTGGGAATTCCTTGGTTATGGAAATCTATGGAGCTCATGCTGTATATAGTAGTAAACATACAACGTAGTAAATGTTTCTTTGGCAACGTTTGCAGTGCTAGTTCAAA